AAAGAGATTGATTTTGCTTTACGAACCGAATAGACCTCCAAAGTATACGATACATTGCGCATCTTAAACAAAGTCGCGAACCTGAGAAAGAGGTATCAAGGAGCGAGTAAAGTTTACGGCAGAGCGCGCAACGCGGATGTGGAGCAAGTGATGATACGAGCATTGCGAGCGCAAGAAAATTTTTCAAAAAAGTTTTTACAAGGAAGGTCTGGATAAGGATCAAGTATAGGTCTGGGCAAAAGTGGGTCGCATTCCTTGCCGTCATTTCGCTTTGGTCGCGCCTCACGACGGGGAGGCGGGCTAGAGCTGCTGGGTAGATGGCGAAACCTTCTTTGATGGCGCAATGTAGACTCTGCCTCTGCCTGGCCCTTGCTTCATCTTCGATCCGGCAGGTTTGGGCTCCGTGATGCTGCTTCCATCTGTTCGTCTTGCAGATGCAGCGCCCAAGATGAAGCGGGCCACACTGGCACCCTTTTTGCGCTTTTGCGCCCCAATCGTCTCTGGCGACCATCTCACATCTGCGTGGGGGTCAGATGACTGGGAATGCGAGTGGCTGCTCACGGATACCGCACCCGAGGCTCGAGATCGCTCGCGGTGGGCCTCCGAGTAGGGAGCGGTCACGTTGTAGTGAAAGGCGCTCAGCGCCGGTGAACGCCCTCGTCTAGCGGAGGTCGTCGTTCCGTAGGGAGTGTCGCCGCCCTGGTGGGTCGAGGCGGACAGCGTGGACAAGGAAGGCGACCTCATTGGGCCAGATCGAGCCAACCTTTGAACAAAAGACCCAGCAACACCTCCGCTCGTCCCACCGCCTCGAGGATTGTACTGACCGTGCGCAACGGATGCTGTGCGAGTCGGCACCTCTGGTCCACCTCGCGTCATCGAGTCCACCGAGACCATCGAATGTCGTCGCATCGCTGAAGGATCGACGTGAGAGAGCGTCGAAGAGTCGCCCGAGCTGAGCATGCCCGGATCCTCCATGTGCCACGCATTTGCGAATTCGTCAGTGATGGGAGAGCCGGCAGCGCCTTTGGGACGCGCGATAGAACTTCGGGCGGTGGTCTGAGTGGGCGTGGGCGATCGGACGCTGCGCACAGCATCCTGGGTGCTTGTGGGCTGCTGCTGCTGCTGCTGCTGCTGCTGCTGCTGCTGCTG